AAAAAAAAAAAAAAAAAAAAAAAAAAGAAAAGAAAAAGAAAAAATGACAAAGAAAAAAATAAAAATGAAAGAAGAGAAAGAGAAAAGACGATTTCTTCTTGTTTTCCCACCAAAAAACCAAAACCCACTCCTATAACTAAAAGTTCTCAGTACAGAAACTGTCCTCACACAGAAGGAAAGGAAAGGTTAGACATAAGACACAAATATTCATTTACGAAAGTAAAGTCAAACCAGGAAAAGCGCATTGGATAGTTTGAAGAGAGTAGACAAAAAAGGTACTATAATGTAGAGTTAGAAGGCAGTGAGAAGAGGAGAAACAGAAAAATGCAAAAACTAAATTCGCCAGTTCCTCCAAAAGCAAAAAAAACTTTTTAATCAGAACGTATAATACAGTTACATTGACGGTGATTTAAGTAGTTGATCTGTTTAGTAACAAAATGTAAATTTTGTAGACAATAGATAGATAAAAAAAAATGTACATCAGGAAGGGAAAATACACTAAAAAAAAAAGTTACAAAAAAGCCAGAAGCCAATACCAAAACATAAAAAACTCAAATATAACTGATTGTTTTTTGATGCAGTTGCTGTTGAATTCTGTAAGTAAATTTTTGAAGTCAATTTGCTCCCCAAATGGTTATTATTAGCACTTACAGTGGCATTCCTAACATCCGTCTTTACTTTGTTTCTCTACTCTTCTACCTTTCGCTTATTTAGCCTAACTTCAGGGCACTCGTTCAGAAGCAAAACTGACCATCAAAATACAATTTCCTCTTTTCTTAGCTCTTTTTTTTTTCTAGTTGCTGCTGTAGTTATTTAGATTGTTGAGTTTAGGGCCTTTATGACAGCAATTATTTCACAACCTGCAGTAAAAATTTATATCCGACAACGTATCCGTCAGCTACGGAAACGATTATATTCAGTAGAATTAGAAGCTCTTTTTTTAATGCTCTCTTTTTGTGAATGTAATTGTGCGGATGTGTTCGTTCATTTTGGACAATTAACTTTACACATATTTTCTAAATGTTTATAAATTTCAATTTTTTCCCCACATTTTTTTTTTTGTGTGTGTGCGTGTTACAATTCAATACAATAAAAAAAGTCTTTTTTTAGTCAATTATGAACACCCCCCACTAATTAGATAAATTATTTGCACACACACTCAACTGCAGATACAGACAAAAGACACAGACACACAGACACAAACACACGGACAAATGCATAGGCTTAAATTTAAGTACCGAAATACACAGAAGTAGTCAAAAAATAAAACTGTATACTATCAGTTATGCTCTAAATACGGAATCGCAGAAAAAAAAATTTATACAAAAAGAAGGAAAACAAAAAAAAAAAAGAGCTCTAAAATAAATGGCAAAGAAAAATAATAATTTTTTTCCATAGTTATTGTCATAAAAACAGAATTTTTTTCAAAAACTAGAACCTTATTATATAAATCAAAAAAAATTTTCAAAATGAGCAATTAAAATTTTAGTTTTTTTCCCTGTCAAAAACAAAATCCCTCTGTCAAAAAAATTTTTTTCTTTCCATCTTTTTGGTACAAAATAATTCTTTTTTTTGTCTCACTTTTCGCCTTTTATTTCGTTAATTAAAAAGATTTTTCTGATTTACAAAAAAAATTTAGCATCTAGACTGCTTCCACAATTAGTGTCATCTCAGACTGTCGTATTTCCGGCAGCAATTCTGTTCACCCGTCGTAATACAGATTTGAGTGCGGTAAAAGAGAGGGTAGCGTTGGAAGTGCGTGACCGTCGTTTTACCAGCCTTTTTCAAGAAATCGTAACAAACGTTCAACACCGATTCAAACCAATGTTCTCAGAATTCCAACTACTACCGATTATCAGTGGTGATTATCAAAAAGAAAGAAAAGCTGTCACCGTCCGTAAAAAAACGTTTCAGGTTAAGTAAAAAATCTGATTTCAATGCAGCTGTATTTTCATTAATGAGATACGGAACTGGAAAAAAAACAGAGTTAAAAAGGATGTTTTAGAAACACGGCATTCTCTTCTCGCCTCTCCGTCCTTTTTCTTTCTTCCCGAGCACAAAGCCAAGTAAAAAAAAAAATTACGAACAAAAAATAACAATAAGCACTCAAAAAACAATTGCCATCTCGTTTGGTTTTAAGCCTCATTTACTTCACCC